GATAAAAGGATGAAATGGATTAATGAAAGGAGAATTGGGGAGATCTTAGAGTAGGAGAACTTTTATAATTTATAAATAATATTGTGTAAAGTAGTTATGGAGAGGGGGGAACATAGAAGTTAGAATTAGTTATAATTTCGACATTTAAATAGAGAGGGGAGTGAATATCATGTAAATATAGTATCTAATTAAACCTATATTATGAAAATTTGAATTATATATATATATATATATATATATATATGTGTGTGTGTGTGTGTGTGTGTGTGTGTGTGTAGTCGGCGGGTGTGGTTTTGTGTGTGTGGGTAGGCGAGAGAGTCCGAGAGAGAGAGAGAGAGAGAGAGAGAGAGAGAGAGAGAGTTAAACAGATAGGATACACAGATAAGGGAGGCGATGCTGAAATATTTCGGGCTTACTAAAAACAAAAAAATAAATACATAAATTAAATTAAAATAAAATAAAATATAATGTTTGGTCAGATTTGGTAATTCGGATTGGGCTGACAACATTCATCAACCCCAACACTCCGCCATCCCCCCGACCATACCCTCCCCGGCTCTGGTATATCTATCCATCTGTAATATTATGATATATATTGACAACCTTGTTTTATTTACATTTGACATTTAATAAAGATCTAATCAATGGCAGTTACTCAATTTGCTGTAAAACTGCAATAAAAACGACAACGCAGTTACGTCCACAATCTTCCTGGTTCTTTTGTTTTTTTTATTTACTTTTTTGTCCTTATCTGCAATAATCAGATCCAGTATTCTTGCTTGGATTAGGATGGTTGGTCTCGGTGTTGAAATCCGAAATTTGATTGTTCAGGACATTCTCTGTTACTATCAATATCCTTCACTCTGTTGATACCAGAATTAACTTACACTTGCTCCGCCAGTATTGTTCACTGGCTCTTCAGCACTGTACCAGTACTCCGATAACGGCTAGCTTTAATGTCCCTTAACTCCATAGGCTTATTGGAAAGGTGTGCATCTGTTATACCTGAACCTACCTATTCTATTATTAATAGACTCTCCCACACATAATAAGTAGTAGTAGTAGTAGCGGTCGCCAGTTGGAGCTCAGTAGAGTTGAGTGAGTCAGTCGATGTCGGACATTGAAGTATCAACGACCACAACTAGATTGCTGCGTCATTAACTCTTATTTCAAGTTCCTAACGTTTTGTACGTCGGACCCTTTTAGGACCGACTTAGCGAAATACAAGCCTCCACTGTGAAAGCTACTCTACAACAGCATCTTTTCAGATTTTTTTTTTCAGATTTTTTTCTATGGTCAGCAGGAAAGACGAAATTAATTGATGGATTTGTTTTTTACAGCTTATCAACCTTGTGTAGATTATTTAAAGCCAGAAAATAGTTTTACATTTTAAAAGGTTTTTCGAGTTAATAATCATTTTCACTGATACAAGGTCAACTAATTAACCCATAGTTGGGGGAGCAGAGGGGAATTCATACCATCCCCAAGGGTATCTGCGCGTAAGTGAATGTAACGAACTGAACAGGAAATGAAACCCGGTTCTCTGGTTTACAATTCTGAGCCATTGTCCATTACGCAAACACGCACGCAAGCATGTAAAAAGGAAAAATCTAGACCAGTCAATTGCAGATAACCCTGACGAGTGGACGTAGTGATTCCCGGAAGGTCCATCAAAGAAAACTTGAAGTCGGGATGCTGAAAGGTAGCATTAATCAGCAGAGTTCTAAACCTTTTATTTGAAATAATCATATATATATATATATATATATATATATATATATATATATATATGATTAATAAATTGTTGTGGTAGGATCCACCTAATTTGTATAGTGGAGTACCGACCATATAAATATGGTTGGTACGGGAAGAGAGGGAGGAATCAAGAGATTCAATCCAGAGACTCTGCCCGACTGCGACTCAGTCAACACATTCTCCAGGAACGGTCTTACCAGGAATATAAAAAAGACTATATGTAAATATTGTGTACACTTTCTTGTTTCAATACATTTTGTTCTAAGTACATTTTGTGTTGCATTATTATTCCATGCATTAGTCAAGTTTCAACATAAATATACCGGTGTAACAGAAAAATTGTTCAAATCCTGTAACAGAAATATTGTAAAATTGTAAGATTAAGTTTGAAGCGTTGTATCTTAGAAATGATTAAATATATCCTACTGGAATTCTCCGAGGTGTTTATAACACTATTGGACTCTACTTCCATAAATAAGTATGTATGATTACTCTCCAAGAATGACGGAAAAATCGTGATGAAATCGATCATAAACGGAAATGACATTTTCATCATTAATTAATCATAGCTAAGGATCGGAAGCCTATGGAGTATTGAAATAAAGTTATATATATATATATATATATATATATATATATATATATATATATATATTATTCTATGATCATTTTCCAACTTATTCAAGATGATATTCGCCCTCTCTAAACTTCAAACTTTATCTCCTGGAGTAATAAGTTTCCTCAAACTTTTCACGTACGATTTCATTTTCAAGTCATATTTTTACTACTCCTTGAACTGTCATAGCTGAAACTTCTCTCTCATGTACCAAACGTCCTATGGATTGAGTTGGATTTTCTACAATTGAACTCTTTATCTCTAAGTTGAAATGGTGTTTCCATTTCCTGTGGTGACCTCCTGATCCAGTTTTCCTCTCTACTGTTCCCTCTTTTTTGAAACTTATTCACCGTTCTCTTGATGGTTCTTGAATGGACTTTGAAGGTGGAAGCCAGAGTATGAATGTTGAAACCAATACTTCACCATTGCTCAATTGAGAAGACAATGGTGCTGACACAAAATGATTTTAATCTGTTCTATTTCTAGCTAAATAAATCAAAGGATTTTCAGTGATTCTCACGATAAATGGTATCAAGATGGCTAAACATCTATCTTAAATCCAGGAAAAAAGAAACTCCTTAAGTTTAGTGGATTTTTAGATATTGAACATTTTGTGGAATGGACAATTTGGCTGTAACACGAATTTTGCTTTTACACCCGGTACTTATATATATATATAGCGTTGCGATGCAGTAATCAGCATTTCATGGTGATCGATTTTATACTTCAATGAAATCTTCAGACAAGTGTCTCTACTCATATAACGGGCTATATATATATATATATATATATATATATATATATATATATATATATATATAAAGGCCACTGGGGAATTAAAGGGAGGAGGAAACGAAAACCTTCTCAGTTTTGTTCACAAAGGTGTTTTATTGCCATTACGTTTAGATTGCTGTATATATATATATATATATATATATATATGTGTGTGTGTGTGTGTGTGTGTGTTGTGTGTGTGTGTGTGTGTGTGTGTGTTGGAGGAGTGTGTGCGTGTGGCACCTGTCGGTCTCGAGAGAACATGGATCTGCACCCAAATGTTATGCATCAGGATGACGCCGCACTATCTGTTATGACTGCACAGGCCTATGCAAGAGTGATAGTCTCGATTGCTACTAATGTAATATATATATATATATATATATATATATATATATATATATATATATATATATGTGTGTGTGTGTGTGTGTGTGTGTGTGTGTGTATATTCAGTGTCAATTTGAGGACAGTGCAGAGGATTCGGAAAGCGTTGGATGAGTCTAATGGTGATTGCGGCGCTATGGCTACTCGGAAGAATCACTGATCGTTCTCATAAGAAGTGAGCTCCCGAATTTGTTGGTCAGGGACTTTGGCTCAATACGGAGACCTACATCAAGTGTCTTGAGGGGGTATTACTGTCCTGGGTCAAGAGGGTGGCTGCTGAAAGACCCTGTGTCAGGAAACAGGACCCTGCACCATGCCCCACATGCCGGAGAACCCAGTTATTTCTACGACCATATCACCCGTTACAAATGGCTACCTAATTCCCCAGACTGAAACCTCCTTGATTATTATGTGTGTTGTACAGTTGAGCGAAATACCAACAAAACTCGTAAAGCCAAAGATGAACTGAAGGCAAGGATTATGGCAGCCTGCACCATCTTAAACACGGAAACCGTCCAGAAAAGTTGCAGGAGATTTCGAAGTTTCCTGGAGGTTATGGTTGAAGCTAATGGCGATTTGATTGAATAAATCTACTCATTAGTATTTCAAGATATTTTGTGTCATTTTGGTAACTCTATCTGTTAAAATGAGGTGTCAGTGTTATTTTAATTTTTGCGTAATTTAGACAACAATTTATCCACGCACCCTGCATATATATATATATATATATATATATATATATATATATATATATATATATATATATATATTCATGAATTATTCACACAAAAACAAATGCAAAGGTTAATGAAAAGATCCCTGTTTCCATAAATTTCTGCCGTATTAGTTCTTATTTTTACTACAAGCTTTCGTCTGTTCCTACAGACATCTTCAGGTATGGAATAGATGTTGTTCTTGTTTTTTTCTCTTAGTAATAAGAGGACAACGAAAATATCTGTGTGAATAATTCATGAATTTATAAATTGATTGCACGTTTATTGTAATATATATATATATATATATATATATATATATATATATATATATATATATATATATATATGTATACAAATGTAAAAGAACGAAGAGTAAGATTTCAGCATTCAAAACATTAATTTAAAAGGGGAATCAATAGAAAAGTAGAGCAATAAATATTTATTATGCAGTGTTACATTAGAACTTGTACATACCCACTACAAAACTGTACGTCTTGTTTCAACGTTAACAATTTTTAAACGTTTCTTCACATGTGCTTCGTTAACTGCATTTCGTAATAAAATATTTTAGTAGCATCGTGATTTCCCACCTGATGAAACGTTACAAAATTTTAACGTTGAAACAAGATGTACAGTTTTGTAGTGGGTATGTGCATGTTCTAATGCAACTCTGCGTAATATATATATATATATATATATATATATATATATATATATATATATATATATATATAAGCTTCTAAAGTCGATCTATGTTTCTTCTCTCTATCTTTATTTTTCTTTCACATTCTCCTATCCGAGTGCTTCGCGTATTTTTTATGTCAAACAGAAAATTGAAGACGTAATTTTTTCTACAGAGAAAATTATATACTGCTACTATCATCCTCTTTCTTTCATACGCACTGATATAGACACAAACTCACTGCTACAGATGCATACATCCGAACACACTTACATAGACACACACACACACACACCACATACGTCCATTGTGGAGAACACTCACACACGTTTTTTTAGTAAAAAAATCAAGAAACAATAAAACATATACACACACACATACATGCCGTTTATAAGTCCTATATACATAAACACACGAATTCTTTAACATACACTTGCACAATAAAAACGTGGAAATATTTTCGAAATAATTTATGGACACACGCAGATCTATTGACAAGCACACATGGCTAAATATATTATTAGACACCTATATACATAAATACATACATACACATGTATATTTAAATACATCGAAACTGTAAACTACAGACACATACACAGTGTTTTTTGTCGAGGGAAACACCCAAATATAAAGACCTATACATATTTAAGCATAATGACGGCCTCGTACAAACACCAGATAAAGAAATTGTTTCCCGCCAAAAAGCAAACGAGTTTTCACGCCATTTTGTCTGCTGACAGGTAATGGCGTCACAGTTAGCGAATATTTTTTACTTAGTCTAAACATTTTTGGCTTGAATTGTAGATAAGAAAGAATTTAGGTCGGGCCACTTTGAAAGCGCAAAGAAACTGAAATGATAAAATCTGGATTGGAAAAGTCGGAAGACGAAGAAAAGCTGGATTTTATTGTTTTTTTTCTTTTTGTTATTGTATTTTTTTTTTTGTACACAGAAACCATTATTCGGAATTGGTGGAGTGAGTTGAGGTGGGTGTAATTTGGCTATTTTATAGAATTTAGAACACAGAAGGAAAGACTTTTGAAGAGGATTCTTGCTTGTGTAGGTTTTTCTGTTTTTGAATTGTATGGCTACATATTAGGGAGACAATGAAAAGGTCAGTATGAATTCGAGAGGGAAGTTTTAATCGAAGAAAAAAAAAGAAAAAAGAATAGAAAAGAAAGAAAAGAAATTAGAAAGGTAGCAAGTAAGAAAAGAATAGATAAAAAAAGAAAACAAGAAAAACGTGTAGGAAGAAAGCAAAAAAAAAGAGAAAAAAATGAAAGGAAAAGAGTAAAGAAAACATGGATAGAGAAAGAGAAAAGAAAGAAAAGTCAAACAATCTGTAGAAGGAAAGAAAACACAACAAAAGATAGTATAAAAAGAAAAAGAGAAAAACAATTCATGGAAAGAAAGATAAAAGAAAGAAAAAAATCACATAAAACATGTAAAAAGAAAGAAAAAAAGAAAGAAGGAAAACAACTTGCAGAAAGAAAGAAAACACCATGTAAAAAAAAATAAAAAATGTAGAATAGGAAAAAGAAGAAAAAATGCAAAGAATGAAAACAATGAAAGAATGATGGGTTGCAACTGAAAAAGATAGAAAAAAGAAAGAAAAACAAGATGTAGAAAGAAAGAGAAGAGAAAGAAAGAGAAAAGACATATAAAAAGAAAGAAGGAAAAGAAAAGCAGAAAATAGAATGATAAGAAAAGAAAGAAAGCAATAAAAGAAGAAAATGAAAAGATAGAAAGAAAGCAAATAAAGAAAAGGAAAGGAATGAAATGTAGGCAATATGGAGAAAGAAAGAAAGAAAGAAAGAACGGCGATATTTAGAAAAAAATAAATAAAGAAGTTGAAAAATAAAAGGTCTCTTTAAGAAACTGGTAAATAATTTAATCATTTAAATATATATATATATATATATATATATATATATATATATATATATATATATATATATATATATATGTGTGTGTGTGTGTGTGTGTGTGTGCAAAGAATAAACTTCTAACGTCCTAAACATTAATTTAAACCAGGGCTCAATGGAAAAGAAGAGCAATATATATTTTTTTTTATACACTGTTACATTTGAACATGTAAGTATCCACTACAAAATTGTATTTCTTTTCAACATTTAAAATAAAACGTCTTTTCAGGTGGTTAACAATGAAGGTAATAAACAATAAGAAGAGACTTTTTATTTAATTTTGTAGTAGATACTTACATGTTCTAATGTAACAGTGTATAATACACACACACACACACACACACACACATATATATATATATATATATATATATATTATACATATATATATGTGTTTGTGTGTATACATACATGCATATATATATATATATATATTATACATATATATGTGTGTGTGTATATATATATATATATATATATATTATATATATATATGTGTGTGTGTGTTTGTGTGTATACATACATACATATATATATATATATATATATATATATATATATATATATAGAGAGAGAGAGAGAGAGAGAGAGGTAGGTAAACAAATGAAAACTGGAATTTCCAATCGCAAGTCTCAAATTTATGATTTGTAATGGAAACGTCTTCTTTTTCTGCTTGATATTTTTTATGAAGTTTAAAATGGAACAAGTTAATAAAAAGTATGCAAGTGAAAATGAAATAAAAATAAAACACAAGGTAGAAGAAAGAAAGAAAAAAGAAAGAAAGAAAAAAGAAAGAGAGGAAGAATGGTAAAGAGTAAGGGAGAAAAAGAGTATCAAAGAAAGCATCAAAGAAAGCAAAATGAAAAGAAGCGAAAAGAAACGAGGAAAAAAAAGCAAAGTAAGAGAGAAGAAAGCAAAAGGCAGTACAATCCCTCATATCCGGAATACCGCATATCCGGAATCCCGCATATCAGGAATCCCGCATATCCGGAATCCCGCATATCCGGACATGATTTTGATGTGTATATTTGAACTATTTGGGTGTATATATGTAACTGATTTGAAATTTCTGTTTTTCAGGAAATTTACTTTGTATAATTGCTTATGCTTATTTCACCCTAATGGCTTGTATTGGTGAAAAAGATGATAGGAATAAGAGGAAAAGAACAACTTTGGAGTTATCGCAAAAAGTGGGAAATTTAAACAGACTAGACGCTGGTGAAAGTTTATTGTAACTAATGGCCGAGTTCAACATAGAAAAGTCAACATTGTATGATATAAAATCTTTCAAAGAAACTATTCTCCAGCGTTCACACTGTCACAATGAACAAGAAAATAAAAAAAAAAACATGATTGTGTTGAAACCTGGACTGAAATTGAAAAAGCTATTGAAAACCTTGTCAATTTTATGGAAAGAAAGCCAGCATTCAGCTATGACGACTGCAATAACGAACGCAGAGTTAAAAAGTGTCTTTCGTTTAAAAATTTCAAGAACAAAAGTAAAACGAAATTCCGAGAAAGTTGAGAATGACATTAGAAGAGAAAGAATCATCATGCAACGGCGAATAAAAAAAATCTTCGTTACATTATTTGTTTTGTGGCATACTTAATTTTATGAATTTTCATTAACATTACATAATTTATTTCTTTTTCCTTAAAATCAATTCCGTTATATTTCACTCGCCATTATCTTGTTGACTATAAAACATTGGAAATATATGTTAAACCTGATTTCAGTTCTTTTATTTTAATCTAAATATAACCCCTCACATCCGGATTTTGTAAGCAATTCCTCATATCCGGAAGGCCTTCTTAGTCTGGTTGTCTACTGTAGTAAATGGCTGAAACAACGAAAAAAGAGAAAAAGGCAAAGTTAAATGAAAATGATAAAATGGAGGAAGTAAAAGACAACAGTTAAAATTACAAACCAAGAACAAATGAATAAACAAGTAAATAAAAGTTATGAGGTGGCATTTGTGGAGGGCCTAAGCCATAAATCACCTGGCAAATGGGATCTGGTATATTTCACACGTGTTTCTGCTGGCCAAAACGATTTAAGAATGTTGTGCAAGATCGATACCTTAGAACATATGAATTGCGATGTTTGACGTGGGAGGCCAAAATGGAGGTATGACTTTTTGAGTGAGTAAAATCTCTCTATATAAAACAAACGATCTCTGTTTGCCTGTGTGTCTGTGTGTTTTATAACTTTTCACTCGAGATCCATCCAACCGATTTTGACCAAACTTGGCACATGTATTGTACAGTGTAAGAGATAGGTTATTAGCGTAAAAAATCGATATTTTTTAAAAAATCAATAATCGATAAAGCCGATCAAATATCGATAAATAGAACTTTTTTTCTTCCGATTTCATTCAAACTCGGTATGTAGGTTACTTACATCATGACGAGCTCAACAAGACCTCATTTTTGTTTCTACGCCACTGCGTTTAGCGAAAGACCGCGAAAAACGAAAAATCGATTTCAACACAAATGAATTTCAATACTAATTTTAAACTAAAAACTCCCTCAATTTTCAAGCAATCTAATACAAACTTCACTCAATTGTAGCCAACAATAAGTTGATTGTTTAAAAGTCATATAACTTGATAATTGAATCCACCCATATAGTGAAAACCCGCGTAAATAGCGAAAAATGGCAATTTTTACTGGTTTCTTTCTTATTTTTCGTTAAACTTTCAACCTGTTTTCATGAAACTTAACAACTTCTTTATAAATGTATCCTCTTTTACATCCCTGGTACCACACTGACAAACTGAATTTCAAAAACTCCAAAATAACTGTGGTCTGAAGTGGGTCTTCATGTTGCATGTTTTACCCCTTCATGTCCTCAGTTAACTTCGATTGAATAAATACAGACTACTTCTGTTATATCAGTAACTGCATTAATTCAAAATGTTTTTTAATGAAAGTACTTTAAAGTAATTGAAGAAGATAGACTCTGTTACATCTCAACATGATGCTGTTTTTGTTGCATTCTAATTGAACGCTTTTTTCTGAATATGGCTGCTAGTAAATGACAAATGCAATCAAAAGGGGGAAGAAAGGGAAGCAGAGAGATTTAAACAAATTGAAACAGAGAGAAAAGGGGAGGGAAAGGTAGAGGTAGTAAGAATGAGCTTAAAAGAAAGTGATTTATTGTATTTACAGTATTAAAAAAATGAAATTCGATGACTAGGCTCGAACAGATAGTCTGCTAATCTTTGTATATAAATATAAATATAAAATTTATTTGGTTCAATAGTCTGTCTATATTTCTGAGATGAGGTATTATGTACGCTATTTACATTATTCGGACTATTGTCCTCATCTTTGTCGCCATATTTATTACAAGGTTTCGGTCGTTGTACGCCCCGGCCTTCGTCAGGTTATTGGAATGTCGAACTGAACCTTTTATTTCGCTCACTGGGGTAAACTGTTCTAGTTCCACGTGCCATGTTTAATGGATGTTAGTTGTCAGTTATCTCCTGTTAATTAAGTTCTCCACTGCCTTAACCGAGTATTGAACTCACACTCTTTGGGTCCTGTCACTCGCCTTTATCCACTGTGCCATGTGTCCTCAAGGACATTGAATGAAAAAAGCACATGGAACTAGAACAGCCTACCCCAGTGAGCGAAATAAAGGGTTCAGTTCGGCATTCCAACAACCTGAAGAAGGCCGGAGAGTGTACAACGGCTGAAACGTTGTAATAAATATGGCGACAAAGATGAGAGCAATAGTCCGAATAATGTAAATAGTGCTTCGACAGTCATTATTGCAATAACCGTTATGGTTAGTGAATTCATGTGTTTTAGTAGACATCTCCATTTTTTGAACTGCGTAATTTACTACTGCCGGCAGGATCATTAGGGCAGGTTGAGTTTTCGTCACATTTTTGAAAGAACAACATTGCACTTGATGAAAAAGCTCAGGTTTGATGGCATAAGTAATGACACCAAACATTATAATCATAGCTTTTATCAATTTTTGAGCATTTAGTTTTAAAGTCTGAAAAACTGTACAAAAATACCTAATCTCCGCAGATGTTTTGCTTATAAAATGTTACTATTTCAAGAATAAATCCATATAAAGTTGATATTTTTGTTAGAGAGACTTATGACTGAAATTGGGTACATGGAAAATATCGGAAGCCATCAATGGTCGTGCTAACACGAAGTCATAAGCCATTGTGACCGAGGCGTTGAGAGTACTGGCCTTGTTCAAACTGATCACGGCAGAAAATGCGCTCTCTCCTAGAAATAGTATCTAAAGTCCAGTCAGGTGAACTCTGTGGATGTTGAACAAACATGAAAAAGTCTGAGCAGTAGTTTTTTTTTTATTTTTCGTTCTTTTTCTTTCTTTTTTTTTTAGAAAATCACTATTGCACTCGATGTGAAAGCTCGAGTTTATTGGGAAAATTACTGTCACCAAAAAATAAGCTTAATAGTTTTTACCAATTTTTGAGCCTTCAGCATCTTTAAAGATCGTCTGAAAAACCTGTACAGAAAAAAGCCTAATTTTCACAGGTCTTCGCTTACAAACTGTTTGAAAAGTTTTACTCTTTCAAGAATAAATCCAAATAAAGTTCTTTTTTGTGTAAGACACATTGAATTGGAAATATATGAAAGCTAGAATTCTAATTATGAATCACCACAAACAAAATATGCATTTTTTTTACAGTGTATAAAAAATTGTAAAAGATTGCAAAAAATATTTTCTCAATGAATAACATTTGTTAGATCATTACGTCTTAATTGATGGCACAATGATTTAGTAATAAGGGGTTTGTGCCATGCATATTGTCTATATAAAATTTGTAAAGCTTCAGTAAATTATAAATCTTATAAGTCTAGACAGGAAACAATGGATAAGCCTCTACTCCTCAAAAGAACGGGGAGGAGTGTGAAACGGACGATAGGTGAACCTATCTACTCTGATCGAGGAAAAATATTGTAAAAGATTACAAAAAAGATTTCTCAATGAATGAGATTTGTTAGATCAAAATTAATGAAAATAAAAAATAGATAAAAGTGTATATAACACTATAAACTGCTGGGTACAAATTATAAGAGAAAAGGTTTTTAAATTTATTTTGTTTATTGAAAATCACAGTAAAACTTTTGCACTGTATAACATATTATATCATATAGTTAAATTGTTCAGTACTATTTCCCTTTGAATTAAATGAATGTCTTATTTGATGGCACAGTGATTTAGTAATAATCTGCTTGTGCCATGCATCTTGTCCATATAGAATTTGTAAAGCTTGAGAAAATTATTAATTTTCTAAAGCTGTGCTATAAGACTTTTATTGATCACTGGAATGAAATTCCAACGCTACGATTTTGAACCTAAACTTAATCTTTCAAATAATTTCCTCAAGAAAACGCTAACGATTTTGGAAAAAATATTTTGTGTCATTAATTATCATGTCAAACTCCAAGATTCCAATTTTGCAATACCACGGTTCCAAAGTCTAGCTGCACTAATGGTTATTCCAGTCTTTGTGAAAAATATTCCTTTTGACAGGCTCCGAACTTGCATCTCTCTTGATATTAAGACCCACCTCCTACAAAGTAGGGGTGGTTTAGGCCAGTTATGCACAAGAGACTTCGCAGCAAAGCCGGTCACAATTACCATTTTTAAGAAATAAAAATCTCTTTCGCGTCTGAAACGTTTGGTTTCATTTCGAATATGAATATATATATATATATATATATATATATATATATAGATAGATAGATAGATAGATAGATAGATAGAAATCGATAGTCGGTTTCATGCTGGCCTGACGATTACTTTTAGCATGAAACAGACTTTCGCTTTTGAGTGTTGGCTTCAATGTCCATTATATATATATATATATATATATATATATATATATATACTTTTTAAATATTGAATATTGCTCTACTTTGTACTGAGCCCTATTTTAAATTAATTGACTCTATACGTTCTTTCTCTTACCTGGATATATATATATATATATATATATATATATATATATATATATATTAAGATTTAAAGTTAAAATCCATAGTCTCACTCCATTTTCAAGCGATGTTAACATCGCCTGACAATGAAAAGAGACTATGGATTTTAAGTTTGATTTTTATGTTTAAATTTATAAATTTAGTTTCAGTTTTGAAACATCGTTTGTGGAATGCCCAGATCTTGTTCTAACTGTCGCACAACCAATGTCCGATGTTCTAAAAATAATTTAAAAAAATCTTTTTACATAAAAATGCATTGGGTTTTTTTCTTAAAGATTTTAATGATAAAACTTTGTTTTTATTAAGTTTGTGGCATTTTTTCATCATTTATATTCATTTTTAGCGAATCAGGTCTGACGATTGCATCTAGCATGAAACAGACTGTCGCCTCTAAGTGTTGACTTCCATGTTCACTTTTATTATATATATATATATATATATATATATATATATATATAGATAGATAGATAGATAGATAGGTAGATAGATCACAGACAGTCTGTTTAGCAGTATTACAGCTCATCAGTGTGGCTAGACATCCGATCGGTTCAAGATGGGATCGAAACCCGACCGAGTCGAAGATTCGAAACCCCTAGGCTATCGGCGAATTTTTGCGTATTTATTTTTCATAAACACGCCAGAGACATAGAGAACTCAACCCGGCTGGAGAGTCTTGTATTATCAGCAGTAATAGTCACTGTTTCCAAATTTTCGCTTTCTCCCCACAGTGCTATATATATATATATATATATATATATATATATATATATATATATATATATTGTTTGAATAAAAAACAGACCACTTTAAGGTTCCATGTAATAAGTTATTTCCCCACAACCCCTTTAACAGGGCTCTGGATCATCAGACTTTACTTCCAAAGGTTGAAATGAAAATGAAAAGAAATTCACATGTTTTTGACGGACCGCATCAAGCATATGTAAAATTAACGAAGTGAGGAAGTGAGGTGGGAGAGAAGATAAGATATGAGTGGGTTAGATGTACCATTTCAATTCCTTATTCTTAACCCCCACTGTGTGTATATATATATATATATATATATATATATATATATATATATATATATACTACTTTCCCAAGCCAACATACACAGCCACAAAAATGTTAACACTCAAAAGAAAATGATTACATCCCTAAGTTTTGACGATATACACCACATACGTGCATCCCAGACAATAACAATGACCACAATTTAAATAATATTCATTTATTAAAAAAAAATTTGAATATTACTCGCTTACCTGTTGTTTTACAAGACTTTGAATAATGGAATTTTGTTCCCACCTCATATTTTGAGTGACCTTACAACCACTTGATGAATATTCATGAACGTTCTCAAATTACAAGCCTTGATAACAAAAAAAAAAAAAAAAAAAAAAAAAGAGGTAAGTAAAAATATAACAGAACAATTGTAATGTTATTTGTTGTTCGGATACGAATATATATACATTGACTAAATTGAAGCACGAATAGAAATATTCATTTACAAGCAAATACGCTTGTGAAAAGTATGAATCCATCTCTCTTTCTCCCACTATGGATTAAATAGTAGGGCTTGAATCTAGAAAATCTATTGTTATTCCCCCCCCCCAATTCTTACAATCTAAGATATGTTTCGTTTTAAACAACCCATTAATGGTTGATAAGCGTAGAACAAAACAAAATCCATCATATTCTGTTCACATTCATTTATTCTATCTATCTATCTATCTATCTATCTATCTATCTATCTCATTCTGCTAATATACCTCTACCTCACTCTATTCTCACATCGTTTCCTTTCTGTCTCTCTTTCTCTCTCTGTATTATTTTACCCAGTTTAATCTAGCTCCGCGACATATATGTGTGACACCTAGTGAGGATTGAACTCACCATGGTGGTCTGCGGGATGAGCCTTCTCACCATTGCCCTAGGAAAAAGCGCCTTTCCTTCTCTTTCTCACACACACACACACACACACACACTCTCTCTCGCTCTATTCATATATTTATTCATATTTGCTCATATTTATCTACTTACATTTAGCTGCAACTCAATTCAGCTCCACCCCCTAACCACCCACCCCTTAACCCCAGCCGCTTCTTTCCTCTCTGCATCTACAAATAAAAATTACCGAAGTGCACTTGTTGAACTTTCTGACAGCAACACTTGAAACAACACATTAAAAAAAAAAAAAAAAAAAAACATCTCATGCCCCTCCTCTCCACCGAACGTCAAGTCCCAATTTAACTGATTTCAACTTAGCACCACTCCAAGATTGGCCAATGTCAAAACCTATTGCGTTTCTTGTCAACGTTTTTTTTTCTTTCTTTTCGTTTTTTTTTTTTTTTCAATTCCCACCCACCCTACAACCCTTGTCTCTTTATTTATTGGATTTGTCTGAGTATTGTCTATGTCGGTAACCGGAGTCACCTAAGAGTGGAACCTTGTTAACGAGTCGGCCTCCCTGTCTGTCAAATGCTGACGATTCTCGGGTCGCTGTATCGAGTTTACGAGTCGGGCACGGTGGAGTTGAAACCGAGTGACGGTGTTGGTTGGGGAACAAATGCCGTCAAACTACAGGTGCCGTGCATACACAGAGACATCAACAGGGCACATATCACAGTGCGAAGGTCAGTAAGCCTGCTTCGTAAAATCTGTTTTTTTTTTTAAGTGGGTGAACTGTATCCTCATAGCGACACCCTTACAGTTAGCCTTGTGCCAAGACTAAGGTAACTTAGTAAATAACTATACTGAAGAGTAAGAAGCTCTATTCCAGACATATTCCAAGAAGTTCTGAGAGCATTAGAAGTCCTACCAGGATTCATTATTTGGTGGCCACAATCTTATATATGCAGGTGGCATCATGTTGATAGCAGACCCAGAAAGCAAACTACAGGAACACCGACTACAGATGGTTGTGAAGGAAAGCGTGAAGAAAGGACTAAATGCCAGTTGCGAGAAGGCATAATGCACAGTTGTTAGCAAAAAGAAAAGCCCAAAATGTAAATTTCAAATTATCAGTTACCAAAATCAAGCAAATACAAGAATGTAAATATCTGGGAAATGTTTTAACAGTGGACAGAAAGTGCATACTGAAATCATTTGAATAAAGAAAATACTTTCCAAAAGCTAAGCAAAGTATTAAGAAACAGGAAAATTTCTTTAAAAACAAAGTCCTCCTATATGTTAGTGAATGCTGCACACTCTCCTCACAAAAGAAGAAACTCTAGCAACATAAACGTGGTTCTACAGAAGGATGCTGAGAATACCATGGGCTGAACAATGACGCAGTTTTAGAGAAAAAGGAAACAAAAAGATTTATAAATAATATCGACAAGAGAGTTGAAATTTCTAATGAATACAATGAGGAAATAAGGCTTGGAAAATGTTGAAACTTGACTAATGCATGTTATAATAATGCAACACAAAAATGTACTTAGAACAAAATGTATTGAAACAAGAAAGTGTACACAATATTTACATATAGTCTTTTGTATATTCCTGGTAAGACCGTTCCTGGAGAATGTGTTGACTGAGTCGCAGTCGGACAGAGTCTCTGGTTGAATCTCTTGATTCCTCCCTCTCTTCCCGGTACCAATCATATTTATATGGTCGGTATTCCACTATGCAAATTAGGTGGATCCTACCACAACAGAAAATTTAATATTCACAAGGAGAGAGGAAAACAAAGCTTAACCTACCTAACGGCCTTGTGTAAATGGTTGGCAGAACAGGGTTTAGAAGCTACAGTAAAAAGACAAAATTTACATAGAGCTACAAAGGACAGGAAAATGTGGAGAACCATGATCACTAATATCCTTATGGGACATGACACATGGAATAAGGTGCATTATTAGGAAAAGAAAACCGTGGAGAGGCATGATCGTCTACTTATGTCAAGTCACTTTGCAAGTGGTAAACCTAATATTACCTGAAACATGGTCCCGTCATCGGAAACTAAACCGGTTCCCCCACCAGGCTTTTCTGGTGTGGAGGGTGGCGAGACACCGAGCAGGGTTTTAAACAAGTCCTGGAAAAGGATGGATGAGTCTACTTGTAGGGTCAGTGGCTATCTTGCACAATGGGGTATACTGGGCAATGGATAAAGTCAGTGTGGCAATGGCATTGCATTGCAAGGCGGAGGTCTTCCTAAATGGTCAGGGTGGGAGGCTTTCCCTGTAGAATCAACGGCCACGTGTCCATGACCAAGGCGAGCCTTCAAGTTGGGGGACGCCGGCTGGAGTTTGACTTGTACATGGATGGGCTCCGCCAGATTTACTTGTCCAAGATACGCTACGCATGAATGAATACTACTCTGGCTTTCAATCCAGATATGTGAACGACACTGGTCAGGTGCTCAGCAGCGCAGCGACCCTACGACCACATCCGGATGAGGATAAAAAAGAAAAATATACTTTTCGTTTCTGTGCGAACGGTGTAAAATTATTAGTCTGCACAATTTCCAGAAAAAGAGTGAATTGTAAATTTTTTTCAGAACAAGACAGAATTGTATTTTTTTTTTTAGAAAATTGAGAATTGTAATATTTTTAGAAAAATACAGAAGTGCCATTTTCTTGAAAAAAAGACACAATTTAAAATTTATTAGAAAATACAAAATTGTAATTTTTTTAATAAAACATACAACTGAATTTTTTCTAGAAAAAGCCAGAATTGTATATTTTTAGAAAAAAATAGTAAATTCTTCTTTAAAAAAGACAAAATTCTAAATTTTCTAGAAAAAGACAGAATTGCCACATTTCCAGATAAAAAGAGAGAATTGTAAATTTTTCTAGAAAAAAACAGAATTGTAACTTTTTTTCTAAAGAAAGGCATCAATCTAGATTTTTCGATAAAGAAGAAAATTCCAGATTTTCTAGAAAAAGACAGAATTGTTATTTTCCCAGAAAAAGTCAGAATTATATATTTTTCAAGAAAATGACAGAATTAAGTAAATTTTCTCAAAAAAACAATGTTCTAAAATTTATAGGAAGTAGAAAATTCAAAGTTTTCTAGAAAAAGACAAAATTCTTATTTTTCTAGAACAGTTGAATTGTAAATTCTTATAAGTTTTATACCATATTGACCATCACGATTTTATGGCATCAATTAGATTCTATAAATCGAGCAAACAGCTCTTCATCCTTATTCTTCTTTAATCAATGCTGTCCTTTTGCTTCCCACTTTCCTTAACAACATCCTCGTCGTTCACACGTTCTACCGATGGTATTCTCAGCATCCTTCTGTAGAACCACGTCTTTTCAAATCGAATGTTCATCTCTAAATTGTAGACAAAGAAGTGTTGTGTCGGGTAGATATTACATAGAAGTCCAGAACCACGTAGAACTTTCCTAGCAAAGGAAAGCGGAGAAAAGGACTATCAGTTATCATTCCCGTCGCTGCCATATATGAGATTAGATTTTCCAGCTGCCCCTTCCTGATTCTAGGTGTACGTTTCCTTAGTGTTCATATTTTCTTTAAAACTTCTTCGTTGTTCACATGGCATTCTTAGAAATCGTCGGTACAAACACAACACTCTCGCTACAAGTCTCTTCTTCAGGTGTGAGTCACTAAAGTATATTTCTCATAGAGTTCGATTCTAAAACGTAAAGAAATAATTCCATCGAAGTCTTTTGGTTTTTGCAATAATTTCCTTCACAATTATTTTATAACATCCAGACGTTTCTTGTGTATTCATTTTGTCAATCATTTCGCTCCAAGCAAACCCTTAAAGGTCACTTGAGTGCAAGGGGTTACTAAGAGTAAAAAAAAAAAAGAGAAGAGGTCAATAAGAGAACAGGATTGAAGATAACGACTGAATATTGTATTTTGAAGATCGTAGAGAGAAAAAACGATTAGCCTGTAATTTAAACAGTGAGCTTATGAGACCTAACTGCCAATCTAGTACTGAGCTTAAATTTGTGAATTCGATGTACCAACGAGGAAACCGCATCAGAAAAATTACCGTGAAAACATCTATAGGAAAGTTACAGCGAAGCTACGTTACGGTAGTGGGAAAGCAACTGAAGTCGAGATGCCAGGTCAGTACCGGTAACATTGCAGATTCTTTTCAGGATTTTGTCAAGAAGTACTAGATATTAAGCAGAAGCACCAGACCAGATGTGGAAGCAACATTCGACGCACGGATGCATGTAGATGTGCAAATGTACATGATGTGCTAATTTTCTCGCTACGACATCGCTACTTCTGCGGCAAATGCTCGGACGAACAACATTCTGTGGTCCCACCAAATCAAACTTTCATGTCAAGAGCAAACCACCCACACTCCCTCCGTATTCCGACGGTGAGAAGTAAGTTCCAATCGAACAGCTTCTTCCCGCGAACCACTGCTCTGTAGAACCGACTCTCAACAGGATGTTTCCTCGATCACTACAATCTTGACCCGTTCAAGGCTAGAGTTAAACTCTTACCTTCCTATACGCGCAAATGGCCTCCTGAATTAACCCGCTACCTCGAGCGTTGCAAATGGTGAACCTTACTGTTAACCCTAGAACACTAACCATGGGTATATAGTTAAACTGTTACCTTCCTATACGCGCAAATGGCCCCCCTGAATTAACACGCTACGTCGAGCCTTGCAAATGGTGAACCTTACTGTTAACCCTAGAATACTAACCATGGGTATATAGTTAAACTCTTACCTTCCTATACGCGCAAATGGCCTCCTGAATTAACACGCTACCCCGAGCCTTGCAAATGGTGAACCTTACTGTTAACCCTAGAACACTAACCATGGGTATATAGTACCCAGCGTAGATTTTCTTATTTTTTATTACAATTTTTAGTACCTGATTTTCTTTCCTAAATAATATGTTTTTCAGTTCCTATTAATGTTAACTCAAAGTACAAAGTTTGAAGTGCCTGCATGTAAAATATTTCAAATAAAGATTTATATTTAATTTTTTGTTTTGATATTTTCAAAATTGGGTATGATATACCCATGGTTAGTAGTGGTGTAACTTTAATTGATGGTTAGTGTTCTAGAGTTAAGCAGTTCAAGGCTGGAGTCAAACTGTTATCTTCCACTCCTATACGGGTAAATGGCCTCCTGAATTAACCCGCTAACTCAAGTAAATGGTGAACCTTTCTGTTAAAAAGAAAAGAAAAAAAAAGGATAAAATCTGGTAAAAAAAAAGTGGCGCATGGCATAGTGAACCGTATTTAGCAACAAACTTTGCAATTTCTTCACTAAAACCATTCTGTGGAAAAGATGACTCCAAGAACGCATAGTGAGTTGCTCTCCTGGAGGTAAATATCAGGAATGATAGCAAACATTCTGTTCTTGAAAGAGTAGACTTCTCCTCTTCGACTTCAGCCAAGAATTTATTCGAGGTATTCAACTAAAATCGTGCTCAGCAGTTACCGAGGCAAGTGCTACTGATAAAATTCAGTCTCAGCAAGTTCATTATTTCGGATATGAACAGACACAAATAGATAACAGTTCATGTGAAAAAAAAATAAAAAAGAATAATAAGATGGCATTTTAAAAATATCTATTTACACTTTTTGCGCAGAGGACTCCCAGCTGACCCCGCGTCAAGAAGGCAGGGAGGGCAGGTTTAAACCCCCATTGACACTCGATAAATGAGAGCCCATATCAACAGACGAGTGG